GTGAATGATAAAAGTTTCGCATTGTTCAAGGCTTCCCTATCTTCAGGGGCACCCAACGAGAATATAGTTCAAAACCACTTAAACATAGCATTGTTAAACGTATTTCAGTATTTAAACGGTAGATATAGGCATATTTTTATCCCCTAAAAATTTTTTATCTGTTCGGAGTTCCTAGCTGAAAGTCTCGAGATCCGAAAATCATAGGGATCAAAACTTACCTTTTCGAAAATTTCAGCCAGAAAAAAGGCTCCCGAAAATTCTAGGTGAGCTTTTTAGCGTCAAAATTCGGTAAAAATGGGCAATTACACCAATTTTTAGATGTTCGAAAATCCTAGGAGAGGTAGGCAAGCAAGAAATTTTACAAAAAATGAGCGGAAAATTCTAGATCTCAAATCGTCTTCCGAACAGATATTTTCCGAAAATTGACGTTGGGTGCCCCTGTATCTTTCTTCGCATGTCGGCTTCAAGTAAGAATGAATTTTGCGACAACGAAGCATTTTTTATCGGTTGCTGGAACTTACCTTGCGCGGTGAAAATTTGTACTAACTGTCAGTAAGTTAAAACTGTGAAAGTTAGTATGTTTTCTGAAAATATGTTGGCCTTGAAGTTATATGTTTCTAAATAGTTTCGGAAGTTACGCAAGTTCTAACTGGGTCTTGTGATGTCTAAAAGGAATTTTTTTGAGAACGTGGGAACTGTTTGGCAGTTTGGAGCGCGATTCTTCAGGAGTCAGAAGTCCATGACGGTCAGCTAAAATACTAAAATAAGCAAGATCGAGGTGGCTTGAAACTTTTTGACGGTTGACGGTCAAAAAAAAAAAATTGCATTTTGCACGGCAGACGGTTAGATTTTTTTAGCACTTTGACGGCTGGCGTTTTAAGCCCATTTGATCTCTTCATAGAGGGTACACTGGTTCTTGAGGGCATTTGTGAAAAAAATTAGAAAACAAAGAAAAAAAAACAGTCTGATTTATTTTTCAATAGTATTGATCCCTCCTCCTATTCCGACCTAACTAGCCCTAAGTCGCCGAGGTGTTGTAATTAGTCGTCAGTCCCCAAGAGACTCGCTATTGTTAGAGGCGGGTGGGGGGACGCGACTCGTGTTAGCGTCACTTAGCATCAGTTATAGAAGGTAACGCGCGTCGAACATAGCACAGTTTTGAAGATGGCATTTGGTAAGCGCGTGACTGTTGTGGAATATGACCTGACGTCTGGGTCTGATAACGACGATAGAGATGACGATCAAAGCTACATTTACTGTTCGATGGCGAGACCTCTTTCTCCGGGCAATCGATTCAGGCACGACGGTGATGCACAGCAACCGGACGATCAGGAGAACACCACCGATAGCGATAACTGTCCTCCCGAGATCAAGAGAGCGCGTACCGAAGATGACAGCTCCCGCTCCTCGACACAGTCTGCGGAGTCTAGTTGCGAGTCGGCGTCCAGTTGTAGCGACCAGGAAGAATCTGATCATTCTGAACCGATGCCTGCAGCACCGCCACCCGTCGTAATAAGCATACCATCTGACGATGACGAGCAGGAAGATGATGGAGATGAAGAAGAGCCAGAACAGCCTCTAGTCGCCCCCCTTCCTAAGCAGAGAACAGCTTACGCCCTGCGTCTTACAGATCTTCCACCAAACTTGGAAAGATTCATGAAGGAGACCAAATCTTTTTTCACCAGGCCGCATTCGCTGGAGCGGCATGGTCAGAAGCTGGCTACAAGTACGTTTGAAAAAACCGAGGAACGCGTCCTTTGTGAGTATC